CAGAAGGAGAGAAAGTACCGAAATATGGAAACTGTCTGCAGAAGGGTGCTGGGATTTCAGTCTCTCCAGCTCACTCTTTGTCTTAGGTTGAACTGATAAGCGAGTTTTAGCCACAGACTGAGGTGCTGTGGTTCTAGGTGGTGGAAAGTAATGAAGATCAAGGAAGCTGTTAGTGAAGCCTGCTGCATGACGAGTTTCACCTCTCGAAACAGCCAAACAGCTGTTCTTTCACGGTTCGGTGTTCTCGGACACAGACGTACTCCTCACGGCCGACCGGGCCCTGGCGTTTCACAGCAAGTGTTTTTCTTTGAACTGAAGGGAGGAGTTGTAGCCCTTTCTTTAGGAGGGACAGCGGCAGCGGCATCTTCCCGTAAACCCGGCCCTTTGTGAGTGCAGCCTCCACTCAGGATCCTCATTGTCCTCATTGTCCATGCTGTCCATACTTGTCATTTCATGGGAGTCTGTGCCTCTAGGCTCTCCTGGGACGGTACCATTAACTCTCTCTCCTCATGGTTTGCCAGCATCCGAGCCAGTTCTTGGTTTTGTTTTTGTTTTTAAGGGGCTGCATAAATATTTGCTGAGGGGACTGTTCCCTAAGTACTGCCACTTTGCCTGTGCTGTTACGTGGGTTACCGCTTGTTAAGCAAAGGGCTGGAACGGTGGTGCACGCCTGTAATCTCAGTACTCAGAAGCAGGGAGTGGGGAAGGCAGAGGCGTCCAGCAGCTCACAGCAAGTCCGAAGCCAGCCGAGGGTGCAGGACACCCACCTCAAGCAATCGGACGAGCAAACACAAAGGAACGAGCAGGAATTTCTTCTTCCTGGAGGATTTGAGTATTTGTTCATATTGCCTAGGTTTCTAGGATGTGCTACCACAGAGTCAGCAGAAAAAAACAATAGGGACAGGCTGAGGGAAAGACTCCGGGACTATGACACTGAGCCGTGTCTGGCTTGGGCCGCACTGACAGAATAATGAAGACTGTGATTGATGGCCATGGAAGTGTTGGAAATTAATGATGCATCTCTCTGCCAGACTTCTTTTATCCAGCCCTGTGGATTGGATATTGGCCTCATTGCTGTATTTGGTTGTAAATGTGCATCCTAATGGATCAGGGGGTTTCAGGTAAATAACATAATTGGTTAGAGTCACCAAGAAGACTTCTTACCATCCAAATTAAAACAAAAAACCCTAAAACATGAAATTTTCCTCAAAGTTAAAGGCGTGTGCCACCACCACCCGGCCTGACTCTTTTTAAATTAAAATACAATAATTCCATTTCTCCCCTCCCTCTTACCCCTCCATGTCCCTAACCCTCCCTCCCAAA